CCCGGCGAGCAGGTGCCGAGGCCACCACGGGCCCGGCAAAGGCACGCCGAGGGCCCCTCAGAGCCACCAGCCAGGAGGACCCGGGAGTCCCCGATACCACGACGGGCAGGCAGTGCCCGTTCCTGCCGGAGCTGCCAGAGCCCAAAAGCCTAACCTTTGGGGGACTGGTGGGGACCTTGCCAGCCAGCATGTGCCCGGCCACCACCGAGGTCAGGCCCCGGCCATCTGCGGAGCCCAAAGAGATGCCCACACCCAAGCCTGTGGGCTCAGGGGAGCTCCCCATGGGCACCTCATCTTCCTCGTGCCCGGCCTTTGGCTTTCCTGCCAGCTTCTCGGAGGCTGAGGGTTTTAGCAAGGCCCCTACACCCATCCTGACCCCCGAGGCGGGCCTTGGGAGCAGTTACCAGTGCCGGCTGCAGGCCCTGAATTTTTGCATGGGCACCGACCCTGGCCTGGAGCACCTCTTGGCCTCAGCAGCGCCCTCCCCGGCGCCTCCCACCCCTCCCGCTTCACTGCGGGCCCCGCTGCCCCTGACAGCCGACCCCAAGGAGCCCTGGGCTGCAGGCAGCTTCCCTGTCCAGGGAGGCTCTGGCTTCCCGTTGGGGCTGACCCCCTGCCTATACCGGACACCAGGAATGTTCTTCTTTGAGTGAAGCCGGCCTGGCCTTGGGCAGTCCCTGCCACTCCACCCTCCAGGCTGAGCCTGGCTGTAGGATCGGGGAGCTCTCAAAGGACCCAGGGCTGACAACTGCGACAGGAAGCCAAGATGGGAATGTGAACACTCAATCCGCCCCCAGGACCTCCGGACAGACTGGGGGGAGGGGAAGCAGAGCCCCCGTGAGGTGTCCTCTGTGGCTCTCAGCCAATAAAGCCAGTGTGATGATGAGGGTCAGCTTGCTGGATGGTTGGGGGCTAAGGGCCGGGAGGCCTGGTCTGTGTGGGTGGCTGTGGGTGGGCTTCTGTGGCAGGTGAGAGGCCCGGGTGGAAACACTCCACATGAGGACTTCTCCTGCTGGGGACTTTCTCGGGGAGTTTCCCAGGCAGGCAGAGGAAGGGGGAGCAGGGAATGGGGTAGAGAGGGAGGGAGGCCAACCATGAGAGACAGCAGGCAGGGAGGGAGGCTGGCCTGGCCTGAGGGACTGGCTCTCCAACCCCAACCTCTGACTCAGCTGCCCCCATCACGATGGGTCAGGATCACTGTGACCTTTCGTGACATCTACTCCATCCCAGCAGCTATCCTCTCGCCAATCCTGTGTGGTATGGGGTGACATCCTCATCTGACATGGAGGAGTCGCAGGCTTGGAGAGTTTGGGGTCCTAGCTTCGACTCCAGATGGCACCGGAGTGGCAGAGAGGAAATGGAAACTGGGTCTGTGTCCCCCCCAGGCCTGGCCTGCAGCGTGAGAGGACGCAGGGTGCCACGCTGGGGAGATGCAGAGCTGGTGGTGTCCGGGACGGAGCTCCCGGGGCTGGAGGGCAGCAGGGTCCAAATGCCAGTGGTAAAAGGGCACCGCTTATCCGTCTCAAGGCTCAGAGGCAGGCACCAGG